AGCTAGCTAGCTGCACAGCTAGCTGGCTAGCTAGCCAACTAGCTGCACATCTCGCTAGTTGTCTAGCTAGCTAGTTGTCTGGCTAGCTAGCTAGCTAGCTAGCTAGCTAGGTGCTTATCTAGAGAGCCAGCTGGCTAGCTAGCTAGACAGCTAGCTGGATAGCTAGCTGGCCTGCTATCTAGCCAGCTGGCTAGCTAGCTAACTCTCTAGCTAGCTCGCTAGCTAGCTAGCTAACTGGCTAGCTAGCTGGCTAGCTGGCTCGCTAGCTGGCTAGCTAGCTGGCTAGCTAGCTAGCTAGCTGTTGGCTAGCTAGCTGTTTAGTCTTCTTCCATGGAGTCTTCGTCTTCTTCATCTTCGTCATCTTCGCTGTCCATTTCCTCTTCGCTGTCTTCCTCGGAGTCGCTTTCGCTGTCTTCTTGGCTAGCTAGCTGTTGGCTAGCTAGCTGTTGGCTAGCTAGCTGTTGGCTAGCTAGCTGCTGGCCAGCTGGCTGCTGCTGGCCAGCTAGCTGCTGCTGGCCAGCTAGCTGCTGGCTAGCTAGCTGCTGCTGGCCAGCTAGCTGCTGGCTAGCTAGCTGTTGGCTAGCTAGCTGCTGGCTAGCTAGCTGCTGGCTAGCTAGCTGTTGGCTAGCTAGCTGTTGGCTAGCTGGCAAGTCAATGTTCTTCTCGGCCTCGAGGAATTTGAAAAGAGCCGCAGAGCTCATCACTGTGCACTCAATGTCCAGCTCGCGCAGGCCAGCAACCACCGCGGGGACCTAAACCACAAATTAGGGTTTAGGGTTTAGGGTTTAGGGTTTGGGGTGCACAGAGGGCTGCAGCGCTGCACAGAGGGTGAGCAAGCTTGGGGTCTGGGGGCTGCCGGGAACACAGGGAAAACTGCCTCTAGGGTTTAGGGTTTAGGGTTTAGGGTTTAGGGTTTGCCTTGTCTTTGTTGGTGACGACGCAGAGGGAGCTGCGTGGGGGTTTGGCGAAGAGGTTTGCTGCTGCAGCATTTGCTGCTGCAGCTTGTTTGTCTGCTGCTGCTGCAGCGTTTGCTGCTGCAGCGTTTGCTGCTGCTGCAGCGTGTGCTGCTGCAGCTTGTTTGTCTGCTGCTGCTCCGAAGCAGCGCAGCAGCAGCAAAAAGTACTTTTTTGCTGCTGCATTTATTTCTTCTTTTTTTGTTTTTTTTATTTTTTCAATTAACTCCAAATTAAACCCTAATGGCAAACCCCGCAGCAAACCCACGAGGGTTTGGTGCGCCGAGTCTGCGGGGGTTTCCTCGCGCCTGCAGCAAACCACCGCGACGCCTAAACCCTAAATTAGGGTTTAGGGTTTAGGGTTTAGCGCTTACGGTTTGGGGTTTGGGCTCGTGGCACGCAGGCAGCTGCAGCGCTCCAGAGAGAATGGCCACCTAGGGTTTGAGGACTGTCCAGAAACCCTAAACCCTAAACCCTAAACCCTAAACCCTAAACCCTAAACCCTAAACCCTAAACCCTAAACTGAAGGAAACGAGCAGAAAGCTGCAGCGCTTATTTTCCACGCAAGAAATGCTACTACGAAACCCTAAACCCCAAACCCTAAACCCCAAACCCTAAACCCCAAACCCTAAACCCTAAACCCTAAACCCTAAACCCTCACCCGACAATTGCGCAAACCAAACAAGACTTGGCAGCTTTAATTTCTTCTTCTGCAAATTCTTCTTCACCGAAGGCGAAGGGGCGAAAGGCCTTCAGCGCTGCAGCCAGAGCCTGCACTCAAACCCTAAACCCTAAACCCTAAACCCTAAACCCTAAACCCTAAACCCTAAGCCCTAAGGATTCACGCCCCACTTCACCTCGAGGCCCATAAGCCCTGGACCCTCACGTCCCACTTCGCCCCGAAGCCCAAACCCTAAACCCTAAACCCTAAACCCTCAGGTCCCACTGCACCCTCAAGCCCAAACCCTAAACCCTAAACCCTAAACCCTAAACCCTTCCACCTCCCCCCAAAGCCCCAGCCCCAAACCCCAAACCCTAACTCCCAAACCCTCACGTTCCACCTCCCCCCAAAACCCAAGCCCCAAACCCCAAACCCCAAACCCCAAACCCCAAACCCCAAACCCTAAACCCTAAACCCTAAACCCTAAACCCTAAACCCTAAACCCTCACTCCAACAGGGTCTGTTGCTGGGGCCAACTTCAAAGACAGTAAACCCCCGTCAGCGTCATAACACAAATCGCAGCCGTAGGCAAAACCCCCGCCGCGCACGGCGCGGAACAAAAGCCCTAAACCACAAACCCTAAACCCTAAACCCTAAACCCTAAACCCTAAACCCTAAACCCTGGACCCTAGACGTGAATTCTGGACGGTGCCGACAGCTTCTCGAGAACGAACTGGCAAGCAGCAAGTGCTGCGCTGCAGTGAGGGTTTAGGGTTTAGGGTAGATGGCCTAAAAGCGTTTAGGGTTTAGGGTTTAGGGTTTAGGGTTTAGGCTAGCGGGCTTGTGAGGGCCTGGCTCTGGGGTCTGCGCACAGCGCTTGCAAGCG